GTGATTGTGCTTTATTTTATTTTCCCAAGACAAATTTATTCTCAAGTAGTGATATATATTGAGATGTATTGGCATAAATAAGAATATCTAAAAACGAGTTTCCACCCCAATTCGTTGTTTTGTTTGAAATATGCTCTGTGGGACTAGTTCGACAAATATGTCATTGTTAAAAATTATTATTGTCAATCTGAACGTTTGCGCTAAATGCGTTTGATTTCTCTCTTAGGATCGTGGTCATGGACCGAGGTCGGGTGGTCGAGACTGGAAGACCGGATGTCTTGCTGGCTGATCCGCAATCACGGTTCTCTGCAATGTATCGTGCTGGGCATTGAACTTACCCGTTTGACCACAACGCATTGCAAGGGTCGATGCACGCCCTTGTCTCTCTCTTCCACACGACACAAGAGCGAGAACATGCATCATCACACAACAGTTCGAATTCAACTGTTCCCTGTTATCTCTGGATCAGATCGATAAGCATATTCTCCCACTCTCTCGCTCTGTTCAACCAGATTGTGATGGATAACCCTAGACCTTCGCGTAAATTTAGCCTAGTTGAGTATTTTTAATGTTTGAAGGTTCGCCATTGGTCTAATCGAACGTTCACATGAATGTTTATACAGAGCTAAAGAGAACACGCGAAACAGTTGAATTCAACCTGTTCTCATCTGTAATGATGCTTCGTCTTGCTCTTGTAAAGTTGACAAGACTTTGATTCTGTTCTACAATAATTTTCCTTTTTTCTGTTTCACTCTTTTTTAACCCCATAAAACCGTAGTCTTTTTTAATCTTGACGTCGTTCGGTTTGATTTACCAGTCTTTTATTCGATTGCCTTGCTTGATCGTTGATGCAGATTGTTATTAGTTGGTTAGTGTTTTCACGTGTCTTCAATTTTCTACCAAATATCTTCTTTACAGAGGAAATCATCTCTTTAGATTACACTTGGTTCTCACATAGAACTGATGATAAAGTTTCATAGCAATCATACCTAATTAGACGTACGCTCTGTCAAGCGGAAATTCTGAACGTGGCATCCCTATACCGACATGATGGACAGCTCACCCCTACCGAATTTCGTGATGGGTCATATGATTTGCATATGATTTCTCGGGACATACAGATGATCGATATTTAACGCAGATAAGCCATGCGTAGATCTGGTATTGTAGCCATGATGTTATTTTGCGAATAACATCATCACCCAACCGTCAGTTGTATGCCACTTTGCAAAGGAAAGTTTTGCGGTGAGCAAACGTTCAAAGTGACTTTCTTGATATGGTTAGTTCATCTGTTTATGCCAACTCGTGAGGTTACGATCGCCCAATGCTCATACTGGCCACGACTAGTATTTATTAGATTCTTGCTGTCATCTGCAAAAGCGGAGCAGAGACGGAATGTCGTCGCCTAACCGAACAGTTGCATTGGCTCTCCAATTTGTGTGCAGAATGATGGTCTCAGTAATCCAGATATGGACAAACTTCCGGTGAACATGTGTTCGGAATGAACATTTAGAAGTACTCAAGGACCCTTTTACATGTTGTATACTCTAACGGAAATGTTCAAAGAATCAACCTTTAGCGAAAAGTTTCACTCATTCACAAAATTACAACGCCTTAATTTTTGTCTCTAACCAGTCCATAGTGAGGAACGTTAACCCGGCTAGGTTATCGTCGAATCTCTCTCACTAGGCTTAATAATACCAATAGTATCTAAAACGGTTTAATGAGCAGATGTGCACTACCAACTCACCTACGTCTGGAAGTTGATAACCTATTTGATCCAAACCACAAAAGGATGCGATATTGTGCCACTTAATTCTACCTTTCAGAGAATACCTATCGAAGTGTTGTAATCCAAGGAAACTCGCTGACTAGACAAACCTGGACACCCCAGTGAAAAGGGCTAGCACCGTCGTCGCCCACTAATTTGCACTGACGAAATTCCGGAAAGCGTTTGTAAAATCCTGGTTTATTCTACACAGCATGGGAGTGAATCCATCTCATCATGTCAAATAGAAAGGTATCATTCTACGAGGACGCTGAACCTCTGAAACAAAAGTACTTAGAGCTCCCAAGACTTTAGTGTTCTATTGGTCAGCTGAATGCTTTCGCAGGAACATCAGTGATAATATTTCGAAGGATTACACCGCACGCTCTATTTGGATTTCGATTTAAAAATAAAATGAAATAAATCCTGTAGAAGATGATGGTTTCGCCGTGGTGTACAGACATTCCATAGTACGGCCCAGTTATGATAGTTCGGGCTCTTGGTTAGTGTATACTACCATATATTGGCCATAACTGTTGGCTTGACCGTTGGAAGACTGATATTCCGTCCATAATTAGGTGTGTTTCTATGATGGAATCGGTGACCATGAAATTAGCCACCTTGCTGCCCGTCCTCCAAAACCGAGTTTGTATACCGCCCACTACCAGCTGAGCGCTTTTATGGATCGTGGTGTCTTTATCAGTGTGCGGTTATCTGTCGGCAAGCCAGGTGTTAGCTACCTAAATCCACGAGGCATAGCTCGTACATTTTCCATGGACTTATTAGACTGCTAACCAGTCTGTTTTGCAACCGACCGTGATAAAGGAGTCTTTCTGGAAAGCTTTAAATGTGTCACCTTTTCACGCAAAAGTTCGTGACGTGCCATTGCATACGATGGCTACTGATCGTTAGCCTCCCGGGCAAAATTTCGTCTGAAATATCAAACTACTTTTTGACTTCATTTAAACGATCAGATTCAGTGGAATTGCCCAGTGATTTTGCACCGCTTCCGTGGTTGCCGTCATCTTTTTTTGAAGTTGAACAAAAATATTCGTGTACTAATTTTGGATTAACAAATATTAAGCTTCCGTCCACGAGGACAATTTCTGCCAGCAAAACCTAAACTCAGGAATTCTGCTAACTGTAGAACGAAAGTTAAAGGCAAGTTAATGCAAACGGTTATTTACTGCAAAAGGAACTTCTGCAGAACTTGGTTTCACAGCATTCCGACACCTCCTCAAACGCTTGTTTACATCTGTTGCTGAAAATCCACGCACAGAGATAAACTCATGATCCGTAACAATCGAATGTGCAGATAAACTGCGAAAGACATGTACTGCCAACCCAGAACGCCCAAGTGTAGCTAACGTTTGAATAGCTGGCAAAATATCAATGAGTTATAATCACCCACTACCCTAACTAACCGTACATCAGTGGTATTATTGTTTCATAGGTAGAAAAAAATCGACCTTTGGTATTTTGTATCTGCGCAACTTGTGCAAGCATATATGCCTACATTTCAGTTAAAAATGTACACTGTTCGTCACGCGGAATGAAATAATAATGAAATGAAATATATAAAGGGTGAAATTTCATATAACCCGAAAGGTAAAGAATGTCGCTAATGTTTGCTTCATGTGCTTTTGACATAGTTCACTTGAGACCTGTTCCTTTTGGTTAGCAGTCGGGGCAGGTAGAGTAAAGGGGAATTTTTATAACCGTTAATGCGAGACGGTAGATACCGAAATGAGGAGCGTGTAGACTGATGGGAACGACAAGACGATAGATCACGGTGCAGTGAATGAAGAGGGTCATTTAGAGTCTTATGGGCAAATTTAACGCAAGAGTTGATGTGTAATCAGTGAGTTCTGTGATTAAAGGATCGATCGGAATTAGTGATGGACAATTGTTTTGAAGTCTTGTTTTAAAAGACCGGGAAATACTACAGGGGAGCAAATGAGTAGAATGAGTAAAACGCATTGATGAACGAAAGAGGACAAGATTGACTGTGGGGTTCGGAATTGCCTGAGCTTGCGTAACGGAAAAGACAGTATTCCGATACAGTTGGAAATATGTGCAGACCAATGAAGATTGCTGTCGATAGTGACACCCAGGTACTTGACTGAGGTCATTCTGTATACAGAATGACCTCAGTCAAGTACC